CACAAGCTGTAATTCGTTTATTGTTGTTTCTCTTTCGACGTAGTTCGTGGTATTCATTGTAACACAAACGTTGCAACTTGCATTCTACACCTCTAGCCAGGCCGCTGTTATTATTAAAGGTAACAGTTCGTGTATTGTAGTGAATGATGCATATCTTAAAGTAATCATATTTGTGTACAAATCGTTAAGTGCTGACTCATTGCAGTATATGTATGTGAACTTTCCTCTGTGAGTATTTTCAGTATTAAGGTAAGAATCTTCGTAGAAATACAAAGGTATCGGATCAGTGATGTTGTTGTTATTATTATAGTAACTTCTGTTAAATTCTCGGCTTTCCGAAAATAATCGCAACTGCTGAAGATACTCTTTTCGTTGCTGCATGCCACTATGAGGGGGGGGTGACGTACCATTGAGTCTCGAATGGAGAGGTAAATTGCAAAAATTGTCACAATGACATTCTTTTTCATTTACGTTAATAAGTCGAAGTGACTACTCTGAACAAGGGTGGATGTGGGGAGTATGTGTGAGAGAATGTTCTGGTGCTCAAGAAAACATGCTCAGATTGTACTCATATGTCACGTACCGTTTTTACTGTTCTTTGGAAAAATAAATCAAATATGAATAAATAAATAAATAAATGGCCCTTTTTATGTACAATAACTGTAAGTAATATTTATAAAATATCTTGGAGAGATGTGTGACTGTGCCAAATGCGTTAGTGCAGTTTTTTAACCCCTTGCAATTATTTGCTAAACAAATACTTATAAATATTGTTAGGGTTAGTATATATGAATAAATAGAAAAGCACAAATTATGTTATATTGTTGGCTCCGAATTGGGCAACCCACCCCACGACCGTTGGCTCTTGCCCTGCACGAGATAACCGTTCTCCATTTGGGGGGACAGTTCTTTTTGCCCTCTCGTCCTTTGTATTTTAAAAGTCCTTTTATTAATTTTTTGACATTTTTGTCATTTATTTTATTACGTTAACATCTGCTACGTTGTATAGTTTATTGTTCAATTTAGAATAGAAAACACGAACATCCTTTTTTATGAACGCTGGCTCACGCATGCGTGATTATGTCTGTCTAGCAACTACACTAGTGGTGCTATACAATGGCACGGACTTTCTCGTACCCTAATTTCTTTGGCTGAGGCTAACTTGTGGGTCGTGCCCCATGCCTTCGGTTAGCTTGGATTTGCTGCCATCTATCGCCGCCCAAACATTTTTTCGCGTTTGCTCAAGTTTTCGGTTTCTTAGTGGTTAATATTTATATAAATAAATGTGTTGATGCGTTTGTGTGTGTGTGTGTTACTTATCGAGTCTCATCCCTTTTAGATGTACATGGTTGGCAACCCTAATTCTTCGGGTTTGTCACAGGCTATAATATTAAAAAAAAATTATTGTTGGGCCGTATTACCCTGTCACAAGACTAAGCCAACCCCTCTTTCCTCTTATTACATCACCAAACTGCAAATACACACGAAAAATTGAATGTTTAACCAGTTTCTGTGAAGGACCAGTTGTTTTACAAGTACAAATGATATGGACTGATGGTAATCCTGGCGTATAACTCCTTCAGTTTTTCAAATGGGAAGTATTGCAATTATTTAATCTATTACGAGATGAATGCAATTACTTGTGAAACTTACAACGTAGTCCTGGAGCCCGTAATTGCTATCAGATTTACATAATCCATGTTAGGCGGAACTCATAGGTTCGTGCTTAGAAGTAATTTACGTAAATAAACAAACTAGGAGCGTATTTTGGGGGCAAAGAGGGCTAGTATTATACGTCTCGAGTGCAGTTGCAAATCTCGATGGAAAGTATATTTGGTCATAGAATTTCTCAGCGATGCCATAATGCGACGTACATAGTGCTCGATTACAATAGAATATTCCTAACAATTTATGTGGTTGAGCTGAGCTATTTTGTATTTTATTTCTTATTATGCTTTATTTATTCAATAAAAAAATTCTCCTCCATCTGTTACTGCAATTGAGGAATTTTAATATGTCGCAATTGCGAATCAGAGAAAAAAAGAGAGAGGGTCAAGAGGTTTGAGGGTATCAGAGATCAACACTTGGTGGTTGTCACTTAAGAGGTCAATCTCCTTTCGTTCTCTCACTCTTTTATCTTATCCGTTTGTGCATGTCGTTCTCCAGACATTGCATCTGCTTATTACCTAATATGAAATCCAGTTAGTGGAGCGTTGTCTCGCACGTTGTGGGTAAGGACATCTCTAAGGATGATAGTCGTTAGTGGTAGTGACATCGAAATTGCCGAATGGTGCTGAAGGTTTGATACGCCTCTCTGGAACTCGCTTAAAAGAATGTGCCTTAGTTATGCGAACTTGGTTTTTTACCATCGCATGATGCTATGCTATTTGCGCGGTCGTTCAAACGAAACCTTATAAAATATTAAGCGGTTCTATGGAGGCAAGGTTTTGCATCTCATTGGTAATTCACATTAATACCCTTCAATACGTGGGCCAGATGGCACGGGATCTCTTGACACTTAAGTTTGACAAGAGGAACATCAGAGAAAGTGTGTATTCGCGGAATTTTCGTTCAAGTCGCCTATTTTACTTTCTCATATACTGCCACACCTATCGAGGAAGTATTGTAACGCTGCAGCGAAAGGTGTCAATTTTTCAACAGAAAAATTCTATTTGATGTGTTAGAAACAGTGGGTTTTTTCTTGTTCCTATATTTACTAAATTACTTCCTCTCGTACGTTGTGTAGTCGGAAACGTTTTGGGGTAATCGAGACCGAAAAATTGGGAAAATGTCTGTCCGTCTACAATGTCCGTTAACAACCTTCAAAGTCGTACACGTGATTTTCACCAAAATAGATATTATTCGATCTATCTGATTGAAGACACGAACCCTTTAATTTGAAATGGATATTTTGAAGGGGGAAGGATAATTTCATGAAGCCCCAACATTTTTTTCAATGTGTCCTTAGGTGGCATTGTTGAAGCACTAACAGTGTGACTCATGCACACAAGCTGTACACAAGTCAAGTTAGGATTCAATTTATTAAAGAAATATCATCAAAATTCAGTATCTGCTCTTATTTTTTAATAGCTTAATATTTAATATAGTCCCTCATTAGGGAGCTTCAGTTTTCTTTGTGATGAAATGGAGAATGTGTGTTTTATGTCAATCCCATGTTATCTACAGTAATATACACAATCCAATGAAACCTTTAATTGAACAATGACCAATATCGTTTGATCAATGGATGGTATGTAAGCGTCTCTGTGATTGGCCAAGCACCTGCATTATAACAAAGCTGTATCATAATGATTATCATTATGCAATGGAATACAGACATATAAAATGAGAATTATATTGCAAGTAGAAAAAATATATTATTCTACCGAATTCAGTAGTATATGTTTGCCGAAAAGTAATTATTTGGAGAATCAACTTCTCAACCTTCCTCTTCATTTTTTTTCTAGTTTTATTCAGAATGTTACATAAATATATAATTATTTTATTAATACATGTGTTCAACATGCTAATTAGTTTTGAACTTAGTATTAATTTAAATAATTATGTTCAATTCAGTCTGATTATCAAGATTTCATTTAAAACTAAGGCTGGATTTAATGTTGACTTATTGATTTGCACACGTTGAACTCAAAGTCTGGGGGGAAAAGGGTTTGATTATTTCTGTTGCGTTTTTCTATATAGAAATAGCAACCCTTGTTTTCACTAGAACTGCACTCTGGGAACTAATGAATAGAAAGAACACTCCTCTTGTTGCCAATGGCAACAGTTCAGAGTTTAATGGTGTGATTAAAGTTTTACTCTGCTATAAAAGAAATTGGCTCTCACCTTGGGTGCGATCAATACTCGGTGGATTTGAGAAATGTAATTATCCTGGGTTTCTCTGAAATCTTTTTCCTCTTGTACTCTCTCATCCTTTCTCGTACATTAATTTTTCTTCCTTTTTCCATTTCCTAGAACACTTCAATTTTATTAACGTTTCTATCAAGCTCTCATTTGAACTATAGGCCTTATGGAACTAAAAAATGATTTTACTTCTGCTTCAACTGAGAATCCAAGTTTAGTTTTTGTTCTTTGACATGCCAGGCTTTGAAACTTGGGTATGTTATGAGTTCTTTTACTGTTTCATTTTGTAAAGAGTAGAGCACCATGATGCTCTATATTTTCCAATAGCTGTTGAGACGTGATAACCTTCAATTGGATCCGTCAATTATACCAGCAGTCACACTATGTGGAACCAAGGGTTGGATGTTCAAATTCTACAAAACACTGAGGAGTTTTATTCTCAAAATTGTGGCCCAAAAGATTGGAAGTCACAAAGAATTCCATTTTATCATCAATATCACTCATTATTTACATGTTTTTGTCAAAGAAACTCGAGAATGGAAGATCTTGTGCCCGCAGAAATGTGGCTCTTTAATTAATTACAAATTGAAGACATTGGGATTGAAATATCAAAGAAGGAGGGGATTGAGCTTCATCTGTGTGGTTTTCAACGGTATGTGATGTTTTGTGGTTTAATTATTTCTTGGAATAAATGTGTTTGGTCTTGATACGTATTGTTCTCTTACTGAAAGAGGCTCTGAAAGCTTTTGACATTTTGCATACCTGTAGGCTATGATATGTAAGCATGTATGTCCTGCAGAATGCAGCTAATGAACAATTGAAACTTGTGAACTATACACATGTTTGACTCCTGTTGATAACTTTGAAACATTTATGGAAAAAGAAAGATGTGTAGATCGCTTATTGGATGAAATTGATCGTTAATGTGAATTCTCATAATGTATTATTTGCAAAAACTGTTTAATGGAAAATAGAACAATCAAAAAATTACAATTAATTACTTTGAACTATTCATGTGGAGTGAAAAAAGTTTATACAAGATAATTTGTTGTATATTGTTGCAAAGAACAGAAGAAATTCAGGGTTGGTAATAGCACTGTTGAAGTGATAATTACAACTTGCCTTATTTCTTACAGGTGATGATGGCTTTGACGTCCCATCTGCAAATGGTGGAAGCTGAAAAGCAGAAACTGCGAACGCAGGTGCGACGTCTGTGCCAGGAGAACGCGTGGCTGCGTGACGAGCTCGCCAACACTCAGCAGAAACTGCAGGCCTCTGAACAGGCAGTTGCGCAGTTGGAGGAAGAGAAGAAGCACCTCGAGTTTATGGTCTCTATCCGAAAATACGACCAGGATGTGCAGGTATGCATGAGGAGAAGGAGGGTTTTATTCTTTAGGGGGTAGGGTGGGGATGTAAGGACCTTCCACAATTGGAGTGCAGGTTCAATTCGCAGGAAGTCTATGTAGAATTTATGGTGGCTATATTGAGCTCTCAGAAGGTTTTCTTGAGGTTTTCCTGTTTCTATTCACTCGTTCCACCATTTCTACAACATTGTGATAATTTTAAAATTAACAGTTATCTTCTTGTTAGATAATTACTCATGAGCCTCAATGATGTGTGTGTGTGGTGTGTGTGATGTGTGTGTGGTGTGTGTGTCAATGTATGATATGTTTTGTTTACTTTGACTTACGTAGTTCAACTCCAGACACCTAATTTTGTGAAGGATACTAAAAAATATTTTTGTATCCATTAGCACTCCTCATTTTGGTGTTTTATGACCTGTAAGACCCAAATTTTTATCATGAAGATTCAAATGGATCCTATTTATATGATATTATCTTGGGATTGCAGAAGATCATAAGATCATACCAAAGAAATGGTAAAATGAAATTAAAGGAACATTGTGAGTAGGAAACTTGGGAACATGACTGGAAAGACTATATGAAATGGATGTTGAGATGTGGAAAATTGTTATAGACAATCTTCTACACCATGGCACAAATGAAAGGCAAGGGATACACTTCTATATCCTCAGGAAAATTCCTTCCAGAAGTCTTTGGACAGGACGTATTATTTCTATGGTTGTCTTAATACACTAACAAAAGATAAAAGAAGACATTTTTGCCAAACTTGAGTCTTGCTCTTGTATTCAACATTTCTAGCCAGTGTATTTCTTACAGGAAATGTAATAATTAATTTTGCGTTTTTAACTTCTGTCGCAATTTGCGTCTACTTCATGTTTAGGCTGTGTATTCTTTTGGGAAAGAGATTGCTGTCATGTCAGAGCAGTAGGAATGCATGTGTAATTGGCGTAGAAAATGATTTTTCTGTGGAAGTTTGTTGCACAAATTGGAGGTGGAACTTTTTATTTCCGTTTGCAATGGGTGCTGTTCTCAAAGAACTCAGAGCTACAGATTTAGAATCCTGGAACGTTGCAGACTATTAATTAGGTTTCTTTGGTTGAAAATTGAAAGTTGAAGGGCAGTAGTTGTCTAACTCCCCCAAAAATGGAAAAAAAAATAGTTGCCAACACCATTTGTTACCTAAGAAGGTAAACTTTTTTGTACATGGTTGGTTTGCCAATTTTATTTTGTGAAGTTAAGACTGAAGTCGCAATTTTTTCTCTTCACAGTTATGTAACTTGAATTTAATTTTTTTGTTTTCTTAAACTGGCGCACGAGCATGTGTTTGTTTTAGGGGAGAGACTAGGACAAGGAGGAGGGAAGGAAGGTCTTGTGCTATGGCACACTTGTTTTGGGTACTGAATCAGCATTTGCCTGGTTCAGATGTTTTAATGCTTCTTTTTTTTTTTTAGAAAGATTTGTTTTTAGATATTGAAATTTGAATTATAGATCACTAGAATTTTTGTGTTCCTTGTGTTTTCAGGGAGATGAATCCAGTTCGGAATCCAAACAAGACAAACCAAAGCAAGACGACCTGGCAGTGGACTTGTTTCCCGATGATGACACCGAAGAACGAACCAGTAAGTGAACCCAGCTGCACATGCACCAAATTTTACTTTCAATACACGCCATGATCTCTCAGATGCATCGCTTGTCTGTTAGCTATTCATGCTTTACAAACAGATTGTTATGCATTTTAAGTACAAACATATTAAACAAGTTTCTTGTCATTGACATTTTTTTACTTTACTGATCTATACAATGTTTAGCAATAAGAGGAAGCAATATATTAGAAAATATTACCACGTGTAATGTACATTTTTTAGTTTCTTAATTTCATGAGAGTTAATTCTCAAATTTCTTGATAACGTGAGGCATAAGTAATAAATGAATGCTGCAAACATACACGTTTAGCATTGTGTAAATCAAACACCATCTTCTTTGCCATTACATCCGCACTGATTCTCAGCAGTCTCTTCGCTACACAATGTGATCTGTGAGATGCTACACTGTGCACATTTTAATTGAGACTACTGTGGTGCCAACCGCATACATCTTATCATTGTGAACACGAAGCTATGACTTCTGAGACCCGCAACAAAGAGGTTCTGAAGAGGATTGTGTTTGGAGAGAAATTTGTATGACAAGTTATCAACAGAAGAACAACTCGTTCATCTGAGAGATCGACCATGTGTGTTGAAGGGTTAATCAAAGATTGAAAACGGAAGTCCAAAATAAATTTTAGTAATGTCAAGGAGCAATTTCAGTCAAGGGATCAAGTTATAATTGAGTGAGCCCAGTTATAATTTATTTTTGTTTGCTTCATTTTTAGTTATTTTTCTCCTGTAAGATATTATCTGTAAGTGAAGTTTTGATGCATAAATCATGCAAAAGAGAAATTAAATTTTGATTTGATTTAATTGGAATCATCTGTTATTTGGCAGTAGCAACAAGTTGATACACAAATATCACATCTTACAACTTAAAACAGATTTTAGATGTTGAGAACTACCTAGTTAAGAGTGCTTTCCATTGGTTCACAATTTGATTGTTATTGAAGACTTGGGCTGGTTTTAGCTTTCTTTCTTGTATGTTCTTAGTGTTTGTGTGTAGTGGTGAAGGGTGGGGGCAGTGGGTTTTATACAATTTATAAAAATTAACACTTATTTAATAATGTATCAAAATATGTTTATCATCTTTTCAATATTGGAAGATTTTTGGGATATCTTTTTCATTTGTTCTGTGGTCTTTGAGTTGATAAAGACATTCTACTCATCATGAGTAAGATCTACCCTTGTAAGAAAGTTTGTGGAGGCCTTTGATATTCATGTTGTAATCTTTTGAATTGTCTTCAAATGCTTAATGTCCCTTTTATAATATGAATAAAGACATTCAACTCATTATGAGTAAGTTCTACCTTTGTATGAAAGTTTGTGGAGGCTTTTGAAATTTATGTTGTAATTTTTTGAATTGTCTCCAAATGCTTATTGTCCCTTCTATAATATGGAGAAAAAATTTATAATATGTTAAATTAAATTCAGAGTACTTATTGATGTTATTTCCAACCAGTGAAGAATAATTCAAGTATAATTCGAAGTGCTTAATGTGTCAAAGATCACAAGTTCAACACAAGGTGGAATGATCTGGCTGGTAAAATATTTTGAATGAAAGTGGTGCAGTAAATTGCCTTAATAGTTGTTGTGGCAGAACTTCTATTTGAGTAAGATGTAACTTGTGTAAGCTTTTAATTTTTACAATTGAAACTCAATTTTGTTGTTTTACAATTCAGGAATTAGGGTAATCTGTCACGGTAAATCGCTAAAAATTATCATAAAATGCTCTTTTAATGTTTTTAAAATGCTCTAAAAGCAAGGAAGAAAGATATAAAAAAATTGATTAAAACCATTTCAGATTATTAAATTACACAGATTTTGAGGTATAAAGGCCCTCAGAAAGACAAGGAAGTTCTCACAGTGAACAATTAAATCTGTTGTATACGTTACTGATGTAATTCAGTTTTCTTCCCGTCATTCAAGTAATCTAAGTTTGCAAACTTTTGGTTTGGACTGTTCTTTACTAGGAAATCTTTCTCTTCTTTTCGTGGATGGTTACAAAAGTTACTTTACTTTCCAAACGAGAGAGCTCTGTTCTGAATAACAAGTAATTTTAATAGCACTGTTTCCAAACACCATAAGAGTTCTCCAACTAGCAGATGTCACTGTATTTCAACCAATCAAGATTGCATGGAAGAAAAGAGTGCTAACATAGCATAGAGAACATCCTTCTAAAGCTCTCTCTAGAACAGACTTTGTAACAGAGTTGGAGAAGGTAGATCGCACAATAAAGCCAGAAACTTTGCAAAATAGTTCTAGAGCTTGTAACCTTTTCCTTGGAGCCCTGAGAGCATTGATTTCACGAAATGTCTAGGGTTGATGTGCAATGATCTTGCATCAAAGGTGATAATTAACATGGGCTAAACATTGTAACCACAACACATAGCCCAAACCATTGACATTTGAAAGATTCTGCGTTATTGTTGGATAAGAAAGAGAATAGAAGTTCAGTAACATTAAACAAAAAACACACCATCTAGAGGAAACAAATAATTGGGATAACCTCAGGAAAACAAATCATCAATTCTGCACGAAGAATGACTTATTCATCCATTTAAGTTCTATACACACTTTTAGGAGGTGAAAGAAATAACATGTGCCAGCCGAGCACTTCTAATGGCATTTAGAAGACTAAAAGAAGCAGCAGCAAGCCTCTTTCCTCCATAAGTCCTCGGAAGTATTTTCTTAAGAGCAGATCCCAGTGCGAAAACATTCAAATACAGTGTGTTCTGCCAGTGGGGTCAATAGGTATTTCACAAATTATACCTTTCCTCAAAAGATTCTGTAGAGGAAAGTAATTCAAACGACGAAAATATATTTATTTGTGTGTAAAGTGTTTAGGTTTATTAAATGACTGAGTCTTAATAAATCAGCAGTAACAAGGCAGTTGAGTTCAACAATGCCATTTGGGTTTGTTGGGCTTTTTAGAATCATTTTTGTGAGTGCCCATCACTATATTTTCTGATTTATTTTAGTTAAACATTTTATAAAACGTGAAGTATAATGTTCAACTATTCAACTTATTAACTTCATAAAAGTTCATACACTTCATAGTAATTCATTTGCCAACTTTGATTTTCTATTGTTTATATAAACAATTATACATTACATAAAACACATTGGTTGCCCTTAAAGTGCCCATCACTGTGTGCTCTACCCTATGTGAAAAATGTGCTACTTATTAAAATAAGATGTAAGGCTAGAAAAGAGAGTTCATCATAAAGCATGCATCCTATTTCTCGTTAATATTCTAGGAACCATTATTTTATTCCAATGTAAAAGATTGTTGTCTTGTGTTACTCAAGACATGAATAAAGCATAATTTCACATGGTTTTATTTTGTGTTATGTTTTATTTCAGCATCGATGTCTCCTACGCCACCCAGCCAGTTTGCACAGCAAGTGAATGCTGGGTATGAAATCCCAGCACGATTGCGTACACTGCACAATTTAGTGATCCAATACGCCTCACAGGGTCGCTACGAGGTGGCGGTCCCTCTGTGCAAACAAGCTCTCGAAGACCTCGAGAAAACTAGCGGCCACGACCACCCAGATGTGGCAACAATGCTTAACATCCTTGCACTGGTCTACAGGTTAGAGCAAAATAATTAGAGTACTTCTAAGTAAGGCTTCTGGGCAAGCACACTATGGATGGTTTGTGCAGGAAAAACTTCCACTGCTAAATTGTGCTAAAATTTTGATTGATTATCCCTCCATAACCCTACCACCTGACTTCTCCTTTGTTGTTTAATGTGAATTCACACTGCATGTCAGAGTCAGTGACACATGATGTTGTTAATCCTGTATTTCATGACGTGCTTAGGGCACCATCGTGTTTCATCATTGGATTATTGTATAGACCTATTTGTTCTCACACTCGCATGTCAACTTTGATTGGTAGTTGGGTGGAGAGAAGATGAAGTGTTTGAAGTGGACTCTTTCCTGACTACTTCTAAGAAAAGTGTCCTGCCCTGAAGCGTTTTCACTTCGTGGAACTTTATGCTGGTGACTGAGTTTTGTAGTTCCAAGAAGTAGAGTATTACATGAATTAATAATAAAATTCCTGTACATTCTTAATTACTTACAATTGAAGTTTCAATTAAAAGTATTAAACGAATTGACATTTCACTCATTAATGTTTGGAATAAACATTTTTGAGCCTTATAAAATATATGTCTTTGAAATCATTCTCGAGCACAAATTGAGATAGTATTTATCTCGCACTAGGTTAATAGGATAGCACTTTGTTCTATACCTCAAACTGTCAAAAAGAGGGATGATATTAATAAATGCATTTTCTATATATAATTTTCCAGTTAATGAAATTTATTTGTGGAGCTTATGCTGCATGAGCAGATGCCAGGTTGTTGTTGTTGCACCTGTAGTTAAAGATGTAACTTTCTCCTCTGTCTATATTTGGACCTGAGTCTCATGTACAGCCTGATCTAAAATATTTGGACCAGATACAAACAACCAGTGTGATACGAGCCACAGCAACTTGCCAGCTAGCAATTGCATTGCTGTGGGTAGCATTTGTTGCCTTTGATCTAGGGATCTTTCGTGTCTAAATGACTGGCACAGGCAATGCAACTTGGGGTCTTTCAACCCTGCCTTAAAATTGGGAATTTCAGGAATAGGGATAATAGTGTAACCAATGCACAGCTTCAAGAAAAACTTACCACAAATTTGATGTATTTATGGGAAATATGAAATGTGTTTGTAATATGAAGGGATCAAATATGTATAATGATAATATTTACTGTGGAGGAGGAGGAGGAGGAGGAGGAAAGTGGCAGTATAAAATGTGAGCATAAGTGTGGCATTTTCCAGTGGGAGTGCCTGCTTGTGACCTGCTAGCCCATGCCTTCGTAGTAGCATTGGCAGCAGTCTCTTTTAGTTCCTACAAGAAGGTGCACAATTAGAGCAAGCCACAGTAATTGTCTCCACCAGTTTATATGGGAGTTGAAAGACCCTGACTTGCTCCATTGAAAAGTGAATTCCCATTGTTATTCTTGGATTTGGATTTTTATCTTTGAATGAAAAGGAGGACCCAAAGGAATTTCCTTCTTTTTTCATTATTCTTAATTACTAACTTTTCTTGGCTTTAGATCTTAACTTCAAGACACTAACAATTTTTCTGTTCTTGTATGTCTATGCTAATAAATAATCATTATAATTTTTACAAACATATTAGTCAAGCTAGCTAACTAGATGTACTTATTACAAATTTAGTTTTGTTTGAATGTGTTTCATCCATTTTCCAAAAATTTCAGTTTTACTTATTACTTGTCTTGTTTACTTGTGTAATATGGTTGGGAAGTCATGGCTTAAAGAGAGTGAAGTTAAGTTTATTCTAAAGGTTAATGCTAAGATCATATTTTTATTCCATTTTAGAGATCAGAACAAGTACAAGGAGGCTGCCAGTCTCTTAAACGATGCCCTTGCCATCAGAGAGAAGACACTTGGGGAGAACCACCCAGCGGTAAGTGCTCTTAGCTTTTTAACTCTTTAACTGCTCCTAGCGATACCCAAAAGCACGTCTGCATGAGCGAACTCGTCCAGATGCTCCCAAGGCATCGTGGTTCCACAAACGATCTTGTCCAGCGGCTTCCAGCTGACTGTAATAACTCGTCCAGAGGCTACTATGCACGGAAATATTGCACGTAACTCGAGCAAACATTGTTGCATACCTGTTGAGGATGGGTTGTCAGCGACTAGGACCGTAGTGTCCATTAACATGTGGGAAGCGCTGCTTCCCTTGCACAGCAAAATAATTATTTGGAATTTGTAGCAATATTGAATTGTCATTGCACTTCCTTCTCAAGTTGGTCTGACTTTTAATTCGAATCATGTTATGAAGGTTAGTATTCACTAGGGGCTTACTATGAGATTTATCAGTGTAATGTGTACCACAGCATAAGAGAACGTCTTAATCTCAGCTGCTCAGGCTCAAGCTCTTTCCCTGATACACCTGAACTCTGCTTTAGATGTGAAATTTGAATTACATGCAAGCGTGTGAAGTAGGTTCAATATTGGCTAGTGCTCCGTAATTTTATCTTGTATGCTCACTACTTAAGCGATTCATTTTATTAAGCTGAGTGTAATTTGTGAATAAATTATATACAGCGTAGTGTGAATAAAATTGCGGAAGTGATGTTTTGTCATTGAACGATAGTGCAAATCACAAACAAAGTTAATTTGTGTTGTTATGAGAGTTGAAAACTTAATCCAGCATGGATGGCAAGTCTTTAGTAGACTTGAGCGGTGAAACATATGACTCATGATGAAGTAACACCGGAGAGACGCCCAATAAGATGAGCTACAATAGTTGAAATTTCTCTAACACAGCAGAAAATAGTGCTCTTAAGTTAGGCCTCCACAGGTCCATTTCGAATCGTTTTGTGCTACTTAAAAGTCTGCATAGTTTAAAACATGATTAAAGTCAATTTTCACATGTCTATCAACAAAAAATGTAGTGTACATTCTGATTATCTTTGGATATTGGATCATGGGACTTACGTGACCCACAGCTTAACATAACAGCTTCTCTTGGAAAGAAAGTTATGCTACACCAGTATCAGCAACAGGCCCCAGAATGATGTTTTTGCACCATCTGTGTTAAAAAGAAAAAAAAATGTGACCATCTTTGTACCTTTGGAAAGGACCACAAATCCAAAAAAATATTCAAAATATATTGTTCATTACCATACCTCAAAATGTGAAAATATTTTAACGTCAACCTGCAGATTACAATATATTGGTAAATGCACATATTATTACTTTTTAAATATATACATTTTTTCCTTCAGTTATTTTGACATTTATTATGGGGACTGCCTTCAAACATTCTCCCTATTACCAATTTGTGTTCTTGGAGAACAGAATGAGTGTTGGTATGAGACTTACGTTTCATCTCTAGACTGCTGAATCTTAAGAGAGGGATTGTGAAGTGTTAGTCCAGCCTGGGAGAGAGTATAGAAAAAGTATTTGAAAAAATCAAAATAATTTCTGAAGCTGAGATGTTCACAATTACAACCAACAACTGTTCATTCGTTGGTTCGTTGGTTTTGCATTGCGCTTGGGTGTTTCCCTTAGGTTAGCAGTAAGAGTATATGCTCTGCTCTGTATGAGTGCTGTGCCTTATGTGAAACGGAAGTAGTTCTGTTTGGGAACTCTTTGCATGCCATCATTCTAAAAGTTAATCTGGTAGAGAGGCAAGTAATGCATTTGAAAAAGGTAATGTGATGTCTGGTGAATAGATTAAAAGAAACTGACGAATGTGCCTTCCCATTGATCCAATGACCATGTTGAGTCACAATGTACAGTCACGTGGACAGCTCAGGACACCCATCTTCAAGTGTCACTATGTCTGCTCATATTTCACAATATCAAGAGGGTAACACATCAATTATTATGTATTATTATAAATATATTAGTGATCGGAGAATACATTAATTATGTCCAGATGAATACATTAATTATGAGTAACCATCATCATCATCATCATCATGAAAGCTAAAATATGCTGTGTCGCTGCCATCATGACATTCTGTCCTCCTTTGCCCTCTTCACCTGTGCATAGTTTTTGAAGTGTATTTCGGTTTGAAGTTGTTTTAAAATTTCCATTGTAGGACTCCCTCTTCCTCTTTTTCCAACTATTTTACAGTCCAAAATTTGAGCTTAAGAATTGACTGTATGCAAATGTGTCTAAAGAATTTTGCTTTTCTGTTCCAAATGGTTTTTAGTAGGATCTCTTCTCCTTCACTTTTTCTAAAATTATATTATTTGAAATTATTACAGTCCAGTAAACCTTTAATATATTTCACCACAACCACATCTCGCAAGCTTCAAATGATTGTCCATTTGTAATCGTTCACTACCATATACTTTAACCATAATAACTTTTCAAAACTTTCTTTTCAATATCCAAATTTAGATTGGTATTTGAGAGCAAATTTATTTTATTTAGAAACTACTTGCATTAAATGTCAGAAAATTATATAGTATATATATATAGACTCATTTTACATTTTCTCATTTATGTTTCTCACTTACAAGGTTCGCCATTTGGGACCACTGCCTTTTATCGTTTTCATAAGTGATTCTAATCTTTACTTGGATACAGAATTTCTGCTATTTGCAGACGATTGCAAACTGTTTAAGTAAATGACAAATTATGGTGGCCAAATTTCCTTACCAGATACACTTAATAAATTTGTCAAATGGCATGCTAACAACAATCTTGTATTAAATTCTATTAATTGTATATTTAGTACTTTTTTGTATTCTAGAGTACATATTTTGTATGTCTACTCAATAAATTCAGTTGTGATTGAAAGAGTTTAAGAAATTGGTGATTTGAGTGTGTTTTTTTACTGAAAAATGTTCTCTAATCATGTAGATTACATGGTTAATAAAGCAATGCAAATTCTAGGTTTAATCAGGTAAACATACAATGAATTTGATTCTGTATATGCTCTGATAACCTTACAAATAATGTTAGTGAAATCTCTCTTGATGTTTTCACCTGTGCTATGGTCACCTTTCTATCCATCTATCTATATCATTAATGTGGAAATGGTACAGCACAAGTTCTTTAGAATTGCATCAACTTATTTAAATTTACCGGATCCATTTATTGACTACTACTAATAGCTGGTTATGTCGTCAACTGTTAATATCTCATCACTCTTCTTAGTAGACTTCAACAACTTAATCTTTTTACACAATTTAACTGCTTTCCTGATAATCCTGAGTACACTTGGGTTGGAGGTTAAATGTCATGAAATATTATCCTGAGGTCTTGTATTTATGTACTAATTCATGTTCTTTTTTAACTGCCTGAATCATCAGAGCCTACTAATAGTTCACATAATAAGATAGATGCCTCTAATGGCCAGCTGCACGTCGGGCTTGCGTTTAGTAGAATTTTTATATTTGAGAGGAGTATTACATTTCACCTGCCATCAGAGTATTCATTATCATGTGAGATGCCATTTCTGTATTTAGTGCTGCACTCTCTTTGTAACTAAAAAGTTAACAAATTGTATTGACAAAAAAGTAGGTGTAATAAGTAGCAAGGAAAATTGGAGGGATGACTTCTCATTTTTGGAGTCTGGAAGTAAGTCAAAAAAGCTAAGTTTATAATTAGTTTTTTTCCCATGTTCAAGATGACTCGGAATAATTATTTTCTGTGTGTACAAGTTTAAATATCTCCATAAACGTTACAAATCCATTCATGGTATTTAATTCCCGTGTTTATTTAAACCAAATGTTTAAAAAGAGTTTTGCAGAGAGAAAAAATTACTTAGTGACCCCTTTTTCTTAAGCAATTGAATTTTTGGTTCTTACCAAAGCATCTAGAAGGAACAATATGTTTGTGTTTCCACCTTATACTTTCACTTATATTGTAAACAACTCTTTCTCGGCAATGTGTAACTTGTCGAGTAACAGGATTTGTAATGCACAGGAACCTGCTAGAATGACATTTGTTAAAGAAATGAGATAGAATTATTACTCTTTGAGTTAAAGTTTATTTCTGTTACTGTCTTTTCATGGGAGTTATATGCTACATTATTGAACAATTGAACATCTCTCAGTAAGTTTATAAGGAGAAAATAAAAGACTGAATTGTGTAAGACATACTGTACTCTAGAGTACTCTGTGCTATGTGCAAAATGGTACATTCTACAAGCAGTATTTTTTGCTGTCTACAAAGACACATTTCACTACATTAATAGTTACATTCATTCAATTTTGTTTTGCAACCACCAGAGTGAATTATGAATGATTTTAGCAAGTTTTTTAAAATTGAAAATGGATTGTCATGTACAAATAGTCTATGAGATCACATACAAATATTTGATTCCTCTGGGATCTTAGCCCAAGACCCGGGATGGTATCAAATATTTGTACTTCATGACAATCCCATTTTCAGTATTAATATGTGATGCATTAGCACTATTACACCATCTTGTGATTTCTCATATCGATTCTCATTTGATTAAATTGTGACACTACAATACGTGTCATTCCATTTCATTCATCTTCACACTGAATGTCAGTTGCATTGAATATATGAATGCCCAAGTTCTGCAATGTTGATGACTTATACTGCCCTTTCTTTGGTTCATTTCGAAAAATTTCCCAATTTCCCAATTTCATAATCTGGAAGGAGTCCGATCCGAATTAATCTGGATTATTGACACTCAACTGTAATATCAATGTGGATGCTTTTTTGAACAGGTTGCAGCCACTCTGAACAACCTGGCTGTGCTGTACGGCAAGCGAGGCAAGTACAAGGAGGCCGAGCCCCTTTGCAAACGAGCGCTGGAAATTCGAGAGAAAGTGCTCGGCAGGGATCACCCGGATGTGGCCAAGCAGCTTAACAACCTCGCGTTGCTTTGCCAGAACCAGGTAGGGAAAGATGGAAAAATGTCTTTAAATATTACTTGTTTGGTTTAAGTTGCCAATTTGATAGAAGTGCTAGTACCTGCTTTACATCAGACCTTCCAGATCTTCACATGTCTTGCTCCCTGAATGTAAAGTAGGAAGCACTGAATCAAAATAAACTAGAAATAAAACAAAACAGTAAACAGGGTGTAAATGGGAGAAAATTTCTAGTATATCAAATTTGCATGGCGGTCTGTGCAATTTTTTAAATTGCTTAGTAAGTTTTTAAATTAACTGCAAATAGCCTGTAGGTTACTTTAAGTGAAACATTTTAGGGAAATATTGAAGACCTGAGATAAATATACAATTGATACTACTTAAAGATATAAATGTAAAATCACGTTACTGAAACAGGATAGATTATTTGTCTCTACAAAATTCAAAAGACTTCTGAGAGGACAGTGATTCTAATTTTTGATATGCTCACTGTTTGATTCTGAGAATGCAGTGTGCCTAAACTAAACAAACATCAGAGGAACGAAATGGGATTCGTCCATGGGATGTGGCAACCAGTGGCAGGAACAAACACAATTAGCTCAATATCACCTGGTGAAAAGAGCAATATACTTATTCTTCAAAACAGAACATTTCAGATGTGAGTTTGCAATGTATGTTGGAATCATGATTCTTACAAATCAATGTAGTGAATTGTCTGTGTTCTTGAAGCAGAAGTTATTTAATGTGCTTGCTCACATTTCATAGAGCCCATGCGTAGCTCAAACGAAGACTAACAAATATTATTTTACTAATTGTGATGTTGGATTGGAGGGGGGAAGGATATGACGTTCTGTGCTTGAAACAATGCTTGAGTAGAGCAACTTTAAACACTATAATGGATTTTTATTTTACATATTTGGGGAAAAATAAATACATATATATGCAGATACTTCGCTTTGTAGATTACCATAAATTCCATTCCTTAAGTATGAACATGTGAAAAAGTCTTATTAGTTCTCTTCAGTTAAGTTGTAGTGTGCTGTTCGACGAACAGAAACTATCTGGGATGCAGTCTTATAGATATTGAAAACTTGCAGCCACTTCAAAATGCCATAGAAAGAAATAAAATTGTGAAGAGAAATGTGATTCAACCTGCATTTTGCTTCTGCCCCCAAGTTCATTCAGTAGTTAGGATCAATTGATTAAATTTGTCATAGAGCGCACCCCTGTAATATAGCGCACAAATTCTTCCTGTTATTTATTATGTACAAATTTTCACTGTGGTGAGATTTATCTTAGTCAAGTAATTTTCAATTACTTTATTTGAATTATTATATTTTCTATGTAACCAAAAGCATTGTTTTCTTGAACAATATCACCCCAACATCATTGAAGTAAACAATTATATCAATTCCTGTATATTGATCTTGTCATTTTTTTTACTGAATCCCAAACATTATTGTAAAATGCTTGTTTATACAGATGAAAAAAGGGTCTTGTTATATTTATATTTTGAAATGTTCATTGACAATGAATGCACGGTGCTTATAATTGTTTCATGTCATAGGGCAAGTATGAAGAAGTAGAACGGTACTACCAGCGAGCCCTAGAGATTTATGAATCGAAGTTGGGACCAGATGATCCCAATGTTGCCAAGACCAAGAACAATTTGGCATCCTGTTACCTCAAACAGGGCAAGTACAAGGAGGCCGAAATCTTGTACAAACAGGTCCTGACCCGGGCACATGAACGCGAGTTTGGAACCATTGATGGTGAGTATTTTGTCTGTTGTATAGAATTATGTGGTATGTTGGTTTTCTGGATGATGCTGCATATTGGAAGAATTGTGGTTGGGTCATTGTAGAACAACTCTCTCTACAGGGTATCCTATAATGTAGTGGTCAGCCTTCTTCTTTTGAGTTTTGGGATTAGTTGTTATGGAATTTGTGGTGAACAAAGTAGTTAACAAGGTAGTTAACTCTATATTCCATTTCATCATGCTCATTATTCACCACATCTTATCTTCATCTGTGAATGAGATTCTAGCTGTGGAAGTGTAATCTTTGAATTGTTCCCATACAGTGGGAGTTAAGGCTGAAAATCATTAAATACAATTTTGTAAGATTTAAAAAGTTGTGTATTTGTTGTTGAATTCTGTACTTGTTCAATGGAAAAATGGCTGTTCTTTGCTTTGAAGATAAGTGCTGTGACTTAAGTCATGACATTTGTAGTTTTGTAATGCAGCAACATTTGGAAAATCAAAAGACTACAGAAAGGCCATGGAAGTCTTTTTAAAGTATAATATTTTATTTGGTTTTATGCAAGATATTTTTGACCTACCATCCAACAATTTGCAACTGAATGGGGAGCATGACGAGAGAGTATGAGAAGAAACTTATGATGTTTATAGATTCATGCTTTCTGGTCTAAGTTGTATTTCAACTCCAAAGACATTTTTCACTCATGTGAACAAAAGGAATAAAGAACGTTGGCAACTGTTTGAATTATTCAGAATGTTCTTCACATTGCATATCTTTGTAACTTTATCATTTATTCTGTAGATTTGAGAAAAGCGTGAGAGCATGGGACATTTATAACTGTGGGGTAGTTATAGGTTGTTCCATGAGAAGAATTACTCAAAGATGCATTAAAAGATGCCAAAGATTTTGCTTATATCAGTGCCCAGTTGCAATGTCAAGATCTTGCATAAAAGCCGACAAATCATTTAGTCTGAAGATCGTCACCATAGGGCTTAATGTCATCATCAGTTAAGATATTCCCTGCCCTCAGTTTAGATGTTATATTTCTATTCTTGTTAACTAATTTTTCTGACCTTGTTTTATTAGTGAAAGTAGGCACTTCTCATAAATATGAGAAAAGTGGAAATAAATGTGACTAAATGTTTAATAATGGTATTTGAAACTTGTTTAAAACGTGGCATAGGAATATTTATATCGCCAACAAACAATGTACATGTAGTTGTGTTCTTCAGAGTTAATATCAAAATTGGATAGTGCCACATTGTGTAAGAATTGCATTTGTTAAGTATGTGCATGGATTTTTTATTGACAAAAGCTAGAAATATTGTGTTTATTGCATGTACAACCTAGTATAAACTTTGATGGAACTCGCATCCATAATGTTAGCATTACACGTAGGCCTCTTAACTAAAAAAAAAGAACATTCAAAAGTATAAAAAAGTGGTTTCTTTCAGAGATCTGTAAATTATGTGTGTAAAAGTTACAAGAACTTCATGCATATGCAAGAGTATGAGAGGTTTGTAAACAAATGTCTAAAAAAAATAGTCATACCTTTGAGTTATGTATCTAGAAACTATGTTTTTTGTATTGTTGAATTAATTAGTAAGACTTTTCTTTAAAAAAATTATAATTTGCAAATATATGTCTGGTTCTTTGAGTGAATTTATTTGAAATTTATCAGTGTTGGAGGAGAACAGAGATATGAAGAATGGAGTTTTCATGTAGCTAGTTTTTTTCATGTGCGTAGAATATTCAGTTCAAAATGAAGTTTGACCTAAAACAAAATTGAGCGGGTACAAAAAATAAGAATTTTAAAATTTGAGACTACCTGCCAACTGTCATTGGCTATTTGCTGGAATTCACTGAAGTGTTTTCTTTAAACCATGGTGTCTATTCAAGAACTGTGCTAGTTGTGGTGGGAAGGTGATCTATCAAATGCTACATAAATTGTGGTCCCAGTTGTTTGCATATGACAGTACTTCACAAAAAATCCTCTTTACCAAATAACACACATTCCTGTCAATGGCTAGAGAGATATTTCCACACAATAAATTCCCTTTTCTGGTTAAGTTCTTTTGGTGATGGGCGCTTTTGAAAATCTTTATGTTGACCTTGGATTTTTTGTAGAACAATCTTAAACAATCATTGTGGGGCCAACCTGTAGACCCAATTTACAAGCTTTCTTTTGACAAACGATTTCTGAATTTTAGCAAACATGCTGATCTTCAGAACAATTCTGCTGGCCAGAAGCCATGCATTTGTTAAAACTCTGAAATCATTTGTTGAAAGAAAGTTTGTACATTGGGTCGTCTAGGTAACTTCCTCGATTCTGAATCTTCCTGCAGGCAGCTTGAGAAGGAGTTCTTGTTTAACTTGGTGACTGCAGTGGAAAAATGGAGAGTTGATAATTGATGCAGAAAGAAGTATTTGCTTAACTTAAAAGGTTGGAAGGGGAGGAGCAGCGAGACTGGTTTCCAGGGAGATTTAGGAAATGTAGCAAATGCGCTGGCTTCTTTTGCTATGAGGGAGAATATCAGAATGATGCACAGATCTTAAATAAACATTTTATAGGACCACTAAAAAATGTTGGCAAATTTGAGCTGTTTTGTCCCCTTTCAGTCTTTCCCCCCCCCCCCCCCCCTCCTTAAAGATTATAGTTCTTCTCACTTCCTAAAATATCATTTTTTTCAAATTGTATGAAATTTTTTTAATGTAATTAAAATAATAATCAATTTTTATTGATTTGATCATTTATTTATAGTTTGCTATTGATCTTTTCAAAGTGTGTGTATACAATATAATTAAATATCATATTAAGGAATTAAAGAATCGTTTACTACCAGTTTACTACGTTCAGTTCACATTTTACTTCAAATGAAGTGAGTGCAAGAACATACATTTTTGTTCAGCTTCATCACAATAAATATTGTTTTTTGAATTGGTTCTTTGTTTTTTTACCATGTCAAATTTTGTATTTTATAACAGCACAAAGTTTTTAAGAAAATGCCCCAAAAATATTTTGTTAATAATTAATTGTCTAATCATATCATAATTCACTCTTGAGCCAGAAGACATTGACATATAATGTCATTTTTAGGTGCTCAGTCGGTAGACCCGAAGAAGACGACATGACTGAAAACTGTGCAGAAGTTTGATATCATCATACCATCCTGTGAACCATATTATGTGAAATACACACATAGTAGCAGAACCTTGATTATCTGTCACCCGTGAATATGAGTAGTTAGTTGATGACTACCATCAAAAATGGAACAATTTTTAATTATAAATGATAAATGAGTTCCATAAGAAGTGCTTTAATATGGAAAACATGTGAAGTAATAATTATTTTATAAAAAGAATAATATAAGCTTTTGCATTTCAAGAGAATTGAAAAAATAAAATTATTTTTACTTCAAATCTTGATTAATGTAGTTCTCACGGTATAGTTTTTCTGTACAGACCTGTCTATTTCTGCAATAAAGGAAGCATTATATAACTAAGAAAATGCACCATGTGGGGAAGGAATTTTGTTTTTCATAATAAACAGTTGACGTTTGTAATTTGCGAAGTTGAGAATTGTGTGACCAGGTGTAGGATAATCGAGGTTCCACTTGACTTTTGTACAAGTTGAAATTTTTAATTTAAATAAGACATTTGTGCAGCTATGTTCCTAAAATGTGATATTTGGTCAAATTTAATTGCAGTTTCAAGTTAAAGTGCAATATTATACTGTATGGGTTTAATTTTTACTGCAGCCTATGAACTTTTGGGGCTAATTTTTGAAGACTTAGGTATCAATCATTGTTAATATGTTTTAAAAGACATGAAATATTTCTATATCTGCATTTATGATTGTCATCCAACATTAAATATTGTTTATTACAAGTTCCATTTATGACTAAACATTGTGATAAATTGCAGATTAGTAATGGTATGGTGCTAAATAACAATGGAAGCATCATTATCATTCTCAATTAAATATTCCACCTTGACCATTTGATTTGTGGCCATAAATGTTATTAGTTTTGCATTTAATTGCTTTTTATAGATACTAACCAGTACTAAAATTTTGATGATTGAATACTGAGTGAAAATAAGAGTTCAAATTTATCAGGAATGCAGTGCTTTGTAAAGCAGTCACTTCAGTGTAAAGAATTGCAAAAATATTAGTTTTATACATTACTAAAATGTTCTTAAATTTTCTTCCTGTCTTCCTGCCTTCAAAAGTGTTAGTCTGGAATCACTGGTTTCCAATTGATGATTGATACCTTTCTTCCATGAACTCTCATGCATCACCCTTAGCATGTTTTTACTAGTTACATTTGGGTAGGATTTGTTAAAGAATCATCATTTGAGTGTCTGTGAAGTAAGATTTCATACCTCCAATATATGGAATTCATTTCAGACATGATCTTTTGATCTAAGGAAACTAGTTTACTTTTTAAAAGTAACTGTAAAGTGACTTTTTTTAAGTTCTTGGTGTTTGTGATTTTTTTTGCACCATGCAGAGCTTGTCATTTGTTCACTGAAAACTTTATTCTGGTTCAGCTAGTGCTTAGAGTAGCTTTTATTAGTATGTGTTAGTTAATTTATTTTTGTGTAAAAGTATTTTATTAGTGTGCTTTAATTTCCGTTAATGTAATTTGTAGAGAAAATTTTATTTTCTGCATGTTTTGTTAAAAGTGTATGCTGGCTGCTTTGACCAAATACAAGCCTTTTAACCTGTGTGATTCTTTTGTTTGCTTTTTTATACTTATGTTTTGCTTTAATAACTTATCCCTGTGAATGTTCCCAAGAAACATTTGTGTGCAGGATGTGATTGTTTGACAGCACTTCAAAATTTTGTTTAGAAGGTCCCAAGGGATAATTTAAATTTACCAACTTTTTGAAATTGAATTCAGAATAAAATGCTGTTTTGAACAACTTCTTATGTGTGTCTGACAAAGGCAACCTGTACACTGTTCATTGTTTTGTATTTGATAATGACCTATCCCGTACTTGCTTCAAAATTTTGATGATTTTTTTTTGTTTTAAAATTTAAAAGGTGAATGCAAAGTATTTGCATTATTATTTAAGTTGAAGATATATGTCCTAGTATTCTAACAATTTATTATCGTTTGAAGGAAGTTCTTTTGGCAATGAAAACATTTTTTGTACCTTATTCCAATGATTCATCTTTAATGTTAAGAACCTAATTTATAGGCATATAACATGCACTTTCTTTTCTAAAATTGAAAACTGAAACCCTTGCTACACAAAAATCCATTTTTCCAGCTTTTGTTTAAAATTCAAAATTTAATTGTATATTCTTCTGCTACCCTCAACATTGCCAAATATGAATGGTTTGTATAGTCTTGAATATCTTGAGTTCATTCTGAAACATACTATACATAGTGAAAATTGGCACTATTATTACTTAAATGGTTCAAGACATATTTACTTAAAATTAGGGTGCATGTTGTATGTCAAAATATATGGTAATGAGGTTTAGATTAATGAAGTTTCTTTATTATTTTTCATAATCTCACAGTTAATTTTTCTGAAAATGTATAGCTCTGAGGTTCTTTTCCAAATTGTAAATGTTTTGGCACGAAATAGTTTTCTGTTTGGCAGCACAGGCCTAGCATGATTGTCATTTCTAAGCCATTATTCACTCTAAACTAGTTCTACAGAGAAGGCTTTGATTCTGGTTTCTTGCTACTGTTTTTTTGTTTTCTACATAATAACCTTTTACATGAAATTGATTATAAAATACAAATTTAATGGAAAAAAGATATTGAAGAGTCATGATAAAGCAAATTTACAAGTTTTATTGCTGTACTTCATTGATGAAAATTTGCCCAATATTTTTTAAATGTATTATTTACATGCTTGTCTTAAGGAATAATTTATATCAGAAAATTATGAAACTTTAATTAGGCTGTAATTTAGAAAATTAAATTTTTGATAGTCTCCTGGAAAGGTAGGAAATGAATTGAATTCCACATCTAACTACTAGCCTGATGTTAAGAAAGAATGTAATTCATGTTCATATATGTATGTGGATATTTGATTTTAAGAATAATTGGTTACATAAAAACTTACTTGCAACAGAAATTTAAAGCAACAGCAATATAGTGAGCCAACTTGGGAACAACAGAAAAAATTAGTGTGACAGTTTATGGTTGACTTTTGTAGAAAATTTTTCAATACGATGTAGGGTTTCAGAATTCATTACTTCATGTTTAATGCAGTAACAGGTATTACAGTCATTACACAAAGAAGCAAGGAACTGAATGAATCTCCTGAAGAAATAAACAAACTTAATGTATATTGCACACTTTAACACACAACTGTTATAGTTGTATGGAAAGGATGGACTTGCAGAACTGAAATTTAACTTCTTTTAAAACTTTTATTGAATAACTTTTTTAGAATAAAATTTATGACTAGAACTTTTCTCATGCCCCTGGTGGGAATTATAATAAAAAACAAATGAAACTGCCATAGTTCCATTACTTTTCTACTGCATAGTTCTTAAAAATAAACCTTTACACACTGAAGACTAAACCACATTTCTAACAATAATTTGTGTATAAGTCATTCAAAGAACAGCTTTGGAAGATGTAAAAATATCTTACTTCCTTACTATCTTCATTTGCCTTACATTCTTCTTTAGTTTGAAGTGAATGTTTGATTTAAGGCAGTAAATATTCAGTGTAACTGCTTTATTGTAACACAGAAAAATTTCAATTCCTCTTTACTCTTTATTTTCAATAGTTTCACAACAAGAGTGCTTTTATAGCAGGAAGGAGAGAGAGTTCAAGAATTGGAGCCACGTCTTCTTGGTGTCTTCTGTTAACTGTGTTTCATTGATAGGGATGATCACATCATATAAGGTTCAGACAGAGCTAATGTCAGTGTCGAAAGATTTTTATTTTATTATTCCTACCTTATTTTAAACATGCCTATCTCAGAACCCTATGAGATTGTTTTGTTTGAAAGTGACAACACAAAATTAATATACCCCTAGCTCTACATTCAAAATTGTTTTGTAAATCAATGAGAAATTTTTGTCCCAATATTGTGTTTTTGCTTTGTTATCAGCTCTCCCTATTATTCTAATTGTCTTTACTTCTGAGTAATGGAATGGATATTCTCATAAGTATAATTTCAATCACTTCTTGTATCTTTTACTAGTGCTTGATTATTCTGTTTGAGTAATTTATTATTTGAGAAGGTTGCAGTTAACACTCATAATTTTCAGAATATGGCTCTTGAGAAATGGATGTAAAAGATAATTTTATGTCATAAATTATTTGCTACAATGCATGACCATATACTTCTTAAAATTCTATACACTTTCATTAATAGGTGTGTTAATTTGTATTGGAATTTAAGTGGCTAAACTTGTAGTTCATTTTTGCAATCCACTTTTTGTTGATGATTATTTCTCACCTTTTCTGTGAAATGATAAAAAAATTTCAGACTTAGTCATTATTTGTTTTGTTGTTCTTTTTGCTTTTGTTTTTCTGGTTTTGTGTTAGAGTAAGAATTACATAGATTAATGTGGCATTGGTGCTAGGGTCAGATGTGTAGAAGTACCCAGGAAATAAATTATGTTTGGAAGTGGCAGTAAGTGTTTGATACTTCTGGTATAAGTTTATTTGTCTTTAAACACAAAAAAAATATTTAATTTTAGTGTTCTGTAAATGAAAGCAGCAAAATCTCGCTAAAAGAGAAGATTAGTATTGTACTCTCAGAAGAATTTATTTATTCTGGTGAACTCCAAATACTACTATTCTGCAAACAAATTCAAGAATATAAAATTATAGTAAAATTTAGGAATATTATTGTAAAGGTAACATGGTAAATTGAAGTTTTTAAAATTCTTCTGAAACAGGTTATTTGTTATGTCAGTACTACTACGTAGAATATGATCAGTCATGGAAAATTGAATTTGTATTAGATGAAATGTTTGAAGGATCATATTAGAAATAGCCCATGGAAAAAAGATAACATATTACTAAAATAGAAATTATTATATTCAATTTTATATATGATATGAACAATTAGGAGATGCAACCCTTATACGTAACCAAGAAATCTACTTCTTTTATAAACATGCTGAATTGCATGGCATTTAGAGTATTCAGTAAATTTATTCAAATCAGTTTGCTTTCTTTCTTTGGGTCTAATGGGTGCATGTTCTATTAATGTGCAGGGGACAACAAACCCATCTGGCAGGTTGCGGAAGAGCGTGAGGAGAACAAGCACCGTAACAAGGAGAATGCGCCATATGGTGAATATGGTGGTTGGCACAAGGCAGCGAAAGTTGACAGTCCTACTGTTACCACCACACTGAAGAACCTTGGTGCTCTGTACCGGCGCCAGGGCAAGTACGAAGCCGCAGAGACCTTGGAGGACTGTGCCCTGCGCTCGCGTAAAGAGGTGAGATGAGTGCTGTGGTCCTATTTAGCATGGTGAGAATCCCATGATTGATGATGCAGGATATAACACTCTCCAGTGTTTTGCATGCCTTTCACCCTTACTCTTGATGGTTGGAGTTGAAGGTAAGGAGATTCGTGAAGTAAGTGTTGCAAAGCTTATTAGTTAAGACAGAATTAGAGTCAATGCAAGGCATAACGACAGGTTTCACTTTTATGACATATAACCTTAATTTAACCAGACAAAAATCTTTGAAAAAAAGTTTCATCAGCGTTGTTTCATGGTTTTTTATACTACAGCTCCTCTTTGTCATTTGTCCTGACAAACAGCAAAGAAAATTTCTTCTTTTGTAAGAATTCTCTTCTTGATATTTTTCTTGTTAATATCTGTGCTAATTTACTCTCTTACACTTTTTCATTCCAGTTTTCTTTCAGGGATAACTAGTTTATTACACCGAAACCACCAGTGACAGAAAATGTGGGTGTATTAGGAGGTGCGGAATGGAATTTTCATGAGAAAGTGATGATTTTATATTATCATTTTTGTTGAGAAGTTTTCCTTTTGAGAGATATTAATTGATTTTCAGTTGCATGGTTAATTCATCTGCAGGAGAAAAATGACATGTTTTAAATGCAACCGTTGGAGTTAACAGAAAAATGTATACACCATTTTCTCACTTAATGAGAATTTACACTGAAGTAATCATTATGGCAGAAACAAGATTTGTATTTATATTAACCAACACTCTTGTATCAAATTTCAATTTTCTACAGCGTTCTCTGTGTGTAGCTTTTATAAGGATTCTGTTGATAAATGTGAATTTTCAGGAAAGTCGGCATGGTCCTACTATCTAACTTGGTAAAAATTTTACTTAATTTGTGCAGGGTGCAAATTGACAATTTTAAACATTTGTAATCTTCTCTGTGAGGAATCTACTATAAATTTTAGACTTTCAGTTTCAAAGATAAGATTCTTAAAATAATCATGTTGAAATAGTGCTCCACACTTATATCTATTCATTAAAGTTCATTAAAACTCCAGGGACATCATTGGGCTTTAGAAAGGTAAGATTTTTACAAATTAGGTATCTGTATTAGGAGAAAAAGTTTTTAGACACCTTTTTTTTCTTGCCACCAATTTACTCAAAAGTAGTGTAATTGATATTTGTATAAATATTCATGAGTAGCTTAGTAGTAGGAATGTGGTAAAAAAATCTCATTAATATTTTACAATTCAAAGACTATAGCTAATTGTCATTTAATTAAGATGTCTTCTCTACTGTTGGGTTGTCCTAATTGATATTAATTCAGACAAGTAAGTTGTGAATTTAACTCTGGGTGGAAGTACTTGTTCTTTAGACCTAATGTTTAATTCTTGCATGTGTATTGAAAATGATAAAATGATGAATGTTATGCTTAGTCTGTAGAGTAGCATTTGCAATGTTTATTAGTGACATTTGTTTAAATGACAACCAGATTCCTTACAATCAAAATATAAAACAAAAAGCAAATCATTTTGAATTTTCAAGTAAAATTTTAGAGAAAATTCATCATGATAATTTTTATGATATGTTTCTTCCCGGGTTGTTACATACTATCTTGATGTATTACAGAAATTATTTTTTAATCATAGTTAATCATTAAAAACTTTAATAATTAATATAATGTCATTTCAAAATTTAGAGCTAAATTGTGCTTTGCATAAAATTCTATTTTCAGATATTGCCTTTAACTAATTTTTTATTTAAAGTTTTATTATTAAATGTTAAGAGAGGGGTGGGATTGTAGGATAATAGCATAGAATCAGCATGTTGAAAGAGATCTCAAATTGCTCTCTGACGTACATAGGACAATTATAAAACTGAATTAAAATTTTCAATAAACAGCAGATGCCATTCTAAAAACCAACAGAATGTACTAAGATGTGGTGCCACCTCATTAAGTGAAAGCCAACATTCTATATATGACCAAGTGTCATTGTAAGGGAGACAGTGAACAATTGTATGTGACAGAATTATGTATGCAAAGTAGATTTTAATGAATCATTTTCCCCCTAAAATGTCACAAACATTGGAGAAACTTTGTGAAGCACATTGATTCTTCTTCCAATCACAAGTTATTGATAAATCATTGTATATTCTTCAAAAATAATTCAAAAATATTTGTGATTATAAATATGAAAACTTTTCAGTTTTGAAATGTTTGCTTTTGAGTAATTGTTTCTGGATCCATTACCAATGAAGCAATACCATTAACTTTTTATGGCATAGATAATTTTCAATTTATACAAATTGCCTTCTATTTTGTCAGTTCATTCATAATTAAAAGTCCCTCAAATTGAGTATTTTTACTGGCTTGCAATCTGAAAGGTTGAAGTACAAATTTAAGTTGGGACCCTAAAAGTTCTTTCATATTCGTCGATATCCTTGGATTTCTTGACTTGTAGCTTCTATTTAATCAATTCTTTGGGTTCAAAGCAATAGGATTATGATTCTGCATTCGTTTCATCTTCCTGGTGTATAAACATTATCGCCACATATCTCACGGGTATCTCATGAGATAAATTGTGGGACAACTTAACCATAGCAAATTGTGTAGTTTGTTCTCAAAATGCACACGTTTATCATGTGACAGGCGCTGGAAATTGTAAAGCAAGCCAAAGTCTCTCAGCTGCTGGGAGGTGCTGGAAGTGATGGGACACTACCAGACCGACGGCGCAGCAGTGGCAGTCGCGGAGAACGTGCTAGCCGTCGAGGCAGTCGTGAATCACTTGAGGCTGTCAGCTACGACGGTGAGGAGGTGAGTGCTTAGGGCTGAACCCTTGACACTGGCACACACCAATCATCTGGTCTGAATTCAGAGAAGGCATTTGGGTCTCAGGGGAAATAGCAGAGATGTTGATGGCATGTTTTGTGACGTGTGCTTGTGACGTGACATGCTGTGCCACTTCAAAGGGAGGGAGCTTTATTGTGAAAATCACCTCGAACAAGGTGCTTATACTTGCTAGGGTTTCTGCTCGCAGCAGAGATTGAATCTGTGGTATTATTTTTTTATGTATCCTTAATTTAACAAATTATCTTTATTGTAATGTGTGGCATTACTGAATCTTATGTAAGACAATTAGTAAAGAAAAATTAAACAGATCCTATAAAATATATTAGCATTAAAATTCAACATAAAATAAACTAAAATATTTTATGGTTTACTAGTTCATTGCTGTGTGTTTACGGACCGGAAACAAAACTCGTAACGGTATTGTTAATACCCTTGCGGGCCTTTGTGATTCTGTATGCCCAAAGGCCTTTAGTACTTTATGACCCGCTCTAATATAAACACAACACACACACCATTTTTATGAATTTGATTTATTAAAGTTAAGATATAAGCAAATACAATGAATACATGGCATAACTCTCAAATAAATAAAATAACTTGTTATAAACCATATTTTGCTTCATTGGTATGAAAATTGGAATTTTGGAAAGTTCCCATGAATTTATAATTGCTATCAGTCACACATATTTCACTGTTATACATCACCATTTTTTTTTACAGATAAATGTGCATTTTGAGTAGCAGTACAACTAGTAGTAATAAGATGTGAAAGATACATCAGTTAATATCCTCAAAAGGTTATTTTCTGGAGTTATGAAATATTCTAAATAATTTTTGGCATTAGAGGCAAATAACCTAAAAATACCATTTCATCACTGCAATTAACACTTATTTTCCATATAATTTTGAATTACTCAATAATCATTTTTTTCTAGAGATAATAATCATATTTCTAGAGATTTTACTGATAAACACTGTCCGTAGCTTTGTTATCTTCTGCAAGAATTTCCACACGAGCTTCACAGTATTCTTTCATTTTATACAAACAAATCAGTGCAACAACAAGTATGCAAAAGTAATTAGATATATAAATTCTGTTTTGTGTATCTGACGTTATATTGACAAATGATGATGATGACGATGATGATGCATCTTTACATTTAAGACGCAAGAAAATTTCGAAAATGTTACGAATTCTAGTTTGATTCAGCTACAAACTGGTAAACCATTAAGTCTTGTATGCACCACAGGTGTTACTAGATGTTTTTGCCCCTCTGGCGACTTCCAACACCTTGGGCCACAGGCATTTGGGTATGGAAGTTGCCCTTGGGGCAAAAGCATCTACTTACCGCCCTTGATACATATATAACTGTTTTGAATTGGTAATTCACTCTGAAACAAGAGAGTGCAGTACTAAAACAACAGGGATAGCATTCAGAATGTGAAAACTTATGAATTATTTAGGAATTACATTAGACGACTTAAGAAATGCTAAATATTATGTTGAAATGAAGGTTATAGTAATGTTGTTTGTAAAAGTATTAGTACTTACACACACAATCAAAAACTAATAAGAAATACTACATATATAACTTGGTTTATGAGGACAGCATGTTTTTCTTTTAGTTCCTTTATTTTTAACACAGAACATGCTAACAAAATCTTTGAAAGCTGGTAAGAAAATTAGGTAGAGTTGAAAATGCTATTTTATATTTTCACATATTGATTAAAGTTATTTTGGATATTTACCTTCAATCAAGTTAATAATAATTTTAAAAAATCCAAACAATTTCTCTTGTCATTTTATTTTTTTCAGAAAATTAGGCTCTTGTAAGACATTCACACTTTTTTGCATCTTCATTATTTTAAATATACGAGACATCTATTGAAACATTCCTAACAAATTGTTTCAAACAGCCATCCATGTACAAACTATCAAATTGATTTTTGGAACTCTTCGGACAGTACCGTTGATGTCAAACATACAAACCTGTGATTTTGGAACCATTAAAATAGGGTCAAATTGCATTGTGAAATTTAATTTCTTCAATTTTCCTGGTTGATCATTCTTATATGTAATTAACAAATGCTGGTAGGAGAAGTTTTCAAATGGGTTGGGATTTGGCAAGAGGCGTTCAATGAGGAGGTATACTTTAGAAAATAAAATTTTAGCTAATGGGTTTTTGAAAGAGAATGTGATTAATGTGTGGTATTATTTTAAGTTACCGAACAAAAACAAATTTACTGAGTGTTTAGAAATTAAGTAATTTATTTTTTGTTGAGACTAGCGAAATTTGAAATGAACTGTAATTAATTTACAGGAATTTTGTAAATTTTGGTGCATTTCATGTACTTACTTAGCTGTGGACCCATTTGCTGTGTTACAAACTGCGAGAGCCTGCTAAAAAATTTATTTGCTTGTGCATAGCAGGAGTTCCTTTTTTGTGATGAATTTTCAAGCACAGTCCATCTTTGCACAGTGTAAATAATGCTTGTATCCCATTTCATTTTTCCTCTATTCCACTATTCATTGTGGTACAAAATTGAAAATCTAAAGACAAGTTTTACAAGTAAATGAGAATTTTCATAAAGTTAGGGAATTGAAAAATATAAAAGCAATCTGATATTTTAGTTTGTTTTTGCCAAGTGGTAAGTTGTCATACAAGTGTTGTACATTCTGTTGGTATGCCATTTTAATTTTATGTTCTTTTTAATTTCTTTCCTTCTCTTTTTCTGTAAATATGAGAAGAAATATTGTCAGTGCTGCTGTAAGATAAAAGTAGGAGTGACATTTGACTGTATTTATGTTTCCATTGTACAGGAGTGCAGGTGTGCAGGAGGGAAACTTGTTTTAATAGAGTTAATGAAATTAAAAGCTTCGATTTTAAAAAGTGGTGTTAAACAGAATTAAGTTAGGTGATAACAGTACTTTTTCCTCCTATTCTTACACTTCATTTGCTTTATTTTGTTAATTTTTTCATGGCTTGTAAGTTAATGTCCTATTTTCATCTTTTGCCTTTTCATTGTTGATTTTGCATTCACTAGGTCAACTAGTTTCTGTTCTGGTTCTCAAAGATTTATAAGGGGTTCAACAAAAAATACACATGAGATGCAAATAATGCACTTTAGGTGAGAAATTGTTCCTTTTTACTGTAATGTGTATATTACTCTTCATTGCTGAGGGTTCTTGCCTCTTTTCAGTACTAAAAAAGATAGTGTTCACAACTTTTAGTATCGAATATTCAAATATTTACCATCAATTTCATATGCTATAAACTTCTAAGACATTATGATGCATTCCAGATCATTATGAAATTTTTTTCTATCTTTTTATTGAAAATAATATTCCTTCCGTATTCTTACTCTCTTTCTAATCTTCCATTATATGGTTGTTGCTCTTCAGAAAGATGAATTATTTTGAAAATAGGCTCTGATGATAGTGTGTATCAATGTTTTGTTTCTTTCTGTAAAGAATGCCATTTATTTTAAATGGCATTTATAATGGCAAACTCAGAACATTTATTTTTTTCTTCATTTATTCATTTTACATCTACCTTCCAAATTTTTTCATAATCATAGAAATTGACTGCAAATTTTTGCCATCACTAAAATTAATTGTATTACTACCTGTGTATGTTGTATTGAAAAAATAGCATTTCAATCTGTACAACGTACAATTACAGTACTGGCATCTGCAATGGCACTTCAGCTTTGATCTCACATTTTATTCTTCCTAATACCAATTCTTAATTTATCTGCAGAAACATTAACTTGGAAAGTGTTCAGTTATTATGTTTGCTTTCCTCTCTTCTTTTTGATTCTATTAAACATCCCCCCCCCCCTATAATATTGATTTTTCCAAGACCACAATTGTTTTTGTTTAACTATTACATTAGTAAGTATCTCATCAAAATTACTTTGTGGTTTGAAAGAATGAAAATCTTCTGTCTATTCTTCATTCAGACAAATATCTGTAATTTGAGTCTTTATATTCTTGCTTAACTTTTTGAATGTTTAACACTCCCGTTAACTAGTACAGACAGTAAAAGAATAAAATTGGCAACAAAAATTTCATTACATTGGAATGTTCATTTCTTGCCTATTCATTTCTTGCATAACACTATCTGTCGAGATGATTGTAACTTTTTTTTTGGGGTCCAGTAATTTTACATAGTTATATTTACATTTCAAACCTTATTTCTTGTCTATTTAGTTCAAAGTCAGTAGATTTCTCATTCAGTTGTTATTGCTTTTTGTTGACCATAAATTAAAAATATGTGTATCAACTCCCAGTGTAAGAAGAACAAGTGTAGAGTAGATATGCTCTGACAAATTGAGATGTTGTATCTGAAATCTTTTAAATAGAGTTTAAAGAAGAAAATTAACTATAAAATTAAAATGTGAAAATTGTCATTGAAATTGAGTAATCCTTAGTTTTTCTGTTTGATTTTATTTTAAATTATACATTTATAATTTTTTACCAGTAAATTTGAAATTTGAGATCCCTGTAAGCACATATTCATGAAATTAATTTTTTTTCTGTCTTTCCCTTCTTTCAAAGAAACTTAGTTGTTCAGTCTCATTCTTCAGTTTTTGTGTAAAAGTGGTCCATTGAATGATGACCAGAAAAGAACTTATCAATGGATGTAAACAGTTTTTAAAAAGCTTTTCAGTAGGAATAATATTTTGTGAAATGAAGAGTATGATTTATGGAGAAAAGAAATGAAAACCAATGCAACTGAAGTTTTCAATTTGAAGTAATTGAAAGGTAACTGGGTCTTATTTTAACTGTTGAACTAGCAAAGCCTATACATTGTCTATATCCATTTCAACAAATGTATGCTTCTTGACTTCTTGAAAAAGAAAATGAGGATCATACAGATCCGTGCTCCTTTTCCTGGGAGTTGTTTTGCATGCTTTAAGATTAAGAATTTTCTTCAATACGATTTGACTTAG